AAAGCTCGCAGCTCTTTCTCTGAGAGGACTGTCGTTGCTTCATGGAAAAAACGAAAAAAACTACCTGGTACACTCTTATTATTATTAACATTATCATCATCCATTCGCATTATAGCAGAGAAATCCGAAGTATAGTCTGGATACTTTGAATGATATGAAGCACGAACAATGTGACGTGGCGGCACTAATAAAGGTTCGTAGGAGGTTTTTTTACACTTAAAATAGACGGCAAAGCTCTGATTTAAAACAGCATCCTCTTTGCTTGTTTGATTCTTTATTTCAGCTGCACTCCACTTTAGGAGGGCTCGCCGCTGCTCTTCCACGGGGAGGATGGATTCCACCCACAAGGGTCCAATGATGCAGAGATCTGGCCGTACACGAATGGCAATATCAAATGGAGCGTGGTCAACACTATTGTAACCAGGCTTTGTGTATAATGTCTGTTCAAGTTTAAGTTTCAGAAAGGTGTTATTGACTGTATTGTTATTTCCCTCCATACTCGCTGTACTCATATCGGTTGCGAGTTCCGTTGTAAAGAATTGTCGCATCCACCAACCCCAAGGATAATTCTGAAAAAGAAAAGGAGGAACCACTGAAGAAAGATACTCATCCATTGCGGGATAGTCCAGCAGAAACAGTCCTGCGAGATAAGGCCTGTAATGATAGATAAGCTCTTGCATATCTGTGGAACTCAGTGGCGGGTCCCCATCCTCCGTCCCCTCAGTACCAAGGCGCCTGTCTCCAATATTAGGATAGGTTACTAGATAGAAAGGGGCCTCATTCATCTCCAGAACATTCTCTTTTAGTGATGCCGCACACTTTCGAAATGATCGAAGATGTCCTGAAGCATGTACGACGACACGAAGTTTTATTTTTTTATTCGTCAAAGATGTTTCATTACTGTACAACTTTGCATAATAAGAATGACGGTGCTTCTTATCTAATGGTGCTGGTGGAATAGTGGAGGTATTAAATGCGGCATAGAGTCCAACCTGTCGCTGTTGTACTGTTAAAAGTCCCTCCAATAAAGATAAGGAAGAGGAGGAACCTGATGCTGATGACATTCTACTGTAGTTACTGTAGTTCACATCAGTGGGAATGCATGGCAAAGCAAATTGTGATGCTCGTGGTTTTGACGGCGAACGTGGTGAAAAGCAAAACCCCTGCATTTTAACAACAGTAGTACGAGCATCCGTTTTAGTAGTTGTAGTTGTACTAGTAGTAGTGGTTCTAATAGCATTAGAAGTAGGAGTAGTGGGAGTAGTAGTAGTAGTAGTAGTAGTAGTAGGATCTGTATTGGTAGTAGCAATAGATCGAGAAGCTGTAAGAACAGTGCGTCTATCAACTGCTGGAGACTCCAGACGTATTTGCCCTGACGACGATGATGATGATGATGAAGATTCCTGTTCAAATAGAGTACGAAGAAGAAGATTAGATACTATCACCAATAGACACAGGATAATAAAAAAGCATGCGATAAGGCATGTTCTTTTCGCCAATATGTCAGTTCGCCTAAGTTCTCTGTTTTTCTTGTACATTGAATAATATCAAAAGAAATTTTTCTTGAAAATAACAATAAAAAAAAACCAAGCAAGAAAGAAAGAAAGAATAGTGCGTATATGTACATGTAAATAGTGAAAAGTCTAAACATATAAATCTCCTCCAGTTTAAAACCAAGAAGGAAAAAAATGGGTTCATGGCGACACCTACACCCCAGAACCGCTTTGACCAATTCCATAATGAAGAACAGGAATAAATAAAAAAAAGTAAAATAAAAAAATTGTCCACCTACGTTAATGTGAATACAGTCGTGATCCATAAAAATAAACAAAACACACAGACACAAAAAAGAGAGAAAGAACAAGAGAAAAAAAAAAAGGCTTTACACAAAAACATGAACCACCATGCAAACGGAGTAGAAGGTCTGAGTGCACCTTAGGAGATTCACTGGTGTATCTTTTCTTCCTCTATCTTTTCTTTTTTTTTTCTCCTTTACCGATACATTCACAGACAGTTGAAAAAAGATGGAAAGCAACAGCGTCATTACCATCAAGACAGGTAAAAGTCATTATCTCTCTACACTCTCTTCCCCTTTTCTTTTCTTTTCTCGTTTCTTTCTCTATTTTTTCTCTCACTTGTGTATTTTCTTCTATTAAACCTCCGGTGAGGAGGAGACTTCCTCTCCCGCGTGTTTTGCGTATTGCCGCCGCCACTGCACCACCTGTTGTGCCTGTTCGTGCAGACCAGCCTTCAGAAACGCACTGGAGAGTGAAAGTGCCGTGGAGGCGTCGGGAACCCAATTGCGATCACGCATGAGATGTAATGTTTCTACAGTCTTTTCAAACCGTCCAGCTTTGGCGTAGCCTCTCGCAATGGCGTTCAGTGCGGTATAGGATAAGTCTGTGTTCATTGCTTTTGCCTTTTCGCGGAGTTCATCCACGCGGTTCATATCGCCCAGTCGGCAGTAATAGGGAATGAGTGCAAGCACATCACTCGCACTGTGACTACTATTACTATTACTATTATCACTACTACTACTACTGCTGGGATCTGTACGATTGGTGGAAGTGGGTCCCGTCTCGTTTGTGCGTTTTAAATCTTCTACACACTTTTCCATCTCTTCAGCGGCACCGCAGCGGCAAAAGGCATCAATGCAGGACCAAATAACTTTTCGTGTGAAGAGATGACTTGATTCGGGTGACGTCACCTCCGCATACACACGTTGTACCTCCTTCTTAAGTCGAGCTCTACCATAGGCCGTAATCATAATACAGTAGACAAGATCATCTAATGGAACATCCATTTTCCTTCGTTGTTGTAAAATCTCCTCCATGCGATCGAAGCGTTTCGCCCGACCGTAACCATCCGCCAAAATATTATACGTTACGGCGTTATTGGTATATCCTTTTTCTATAAACTCTGCATGCAGTTTTTCCATCTTGGCTACATCACCTGTCTTGGCATATGTATTCATCATCTGATGATAGGTGACGGATGTTGGTAAAGTATCTGGAGATAATTTCATATCTTCAAAGAGAGATTCCATCTCTGCGACACGGCCTGATTTTCCTAACATATCCAAAATTGTCGTTGCCGTAACTGGATTTGGTGGAATTTGTTTCATCATATTATTTAAAACGGTTTGCATTTTACTGGCGTTGTGTTGTTTGCTGTATAGTAGTAGGAATTGGTTATACACTTCTGTATCTGGAAACAGTTTAGATGAGATGAGATCATCCCATGCATTACTTACCCCATCCACATCCCCCATCTTACTGAGAGAAGATGCCAAGACAGAGTAAAAGGCCGCGGAGACTTCACCTTCGTGTTCTTTTAATAATTGAATAACATCACGTACTTTATCTCCATCACCCCATCGTGCAAATGCCGTGATGAGAGTACCAAATGTCACATCATTCATCGCCACCTCTTCAGTCTTCATCTTTTCAATAAGTTCATTCACCTTCTCTCGCTGACCATCTTTACCATACTTATTTAAAAGAACATTATACACATCTGTAGACCAGGTAGGGATTTCTTTTAGAAAATTTTCTAAACGATCTGATCCATCGCCGTGATGGGCATAGACGTGTAGCATACTTGTCTGTACATGCGGGTGATCTGTCATGCCTCGTTTCTTTGCCTCTGCGTAGGCTTCTTCTGCCTTTTCCAAATTATTCGAATAGATACGAATAAGAACAGCAAATGTCACTGGGGTTAGTTGAAGGGTCCCAAACTCTTCACGCGACATCATTTCCTTCACAATGGCCTCCACTCGTGCGGTATCTCCCAAATCCCCAAATATACCTAGGAGTGTGTTGTACAGTTGTATATCCGGCCGTACGTGTTTCTGCTGCATCTCTTCATACAATCGCTCTACATGTCGGGGATAATACTTTCCCAATGCCCGCAGCATCCATGCATAGGTTTGAGAATCCGGATGTACACCCTCTGTATCCATCTCCTCCTTTAACGCAATCACATCCTTTACATTCCCCATGAGTGCAAACCACTTGAATAACTCATTATAAACACGTACATCATTGGTGAGTCCCTTATGCTGCATACGCGTCCATGCAGTTTTAATTGACTCCGGTCGCCCGGCAGCGCCGTAGCCGCGAATTACGGCCCGAATGTGTGCGGCGCTGATATCCATATCCGGATCCCCTTGTTTAAGTCTTGACTCAATAGATGAAAGCAGCGTGTCGACCTTTGACAGCATCAACTCTTCACTCCCACGATCTCCAAAGTGCATCAGCCGTGCATACGCCGCAATGATGATAGAGTTCCCCGTCACATCCGGCACGTATCCAAACTCCTTCAGTTCATTCTCCACCGCTGCAATTTCTTCCGCCCCCGTCACGTGCCGCATTCGTTGTCGGAGAATAATCGCAAAGGTTGCCGCATCCAACACCACCGACTTATCCAACGCTGCTTGAAATACAGCAGCAAAGGAAACTTCATCATCACGTCGGTAAAAGACACGAAAGAAGGCGCGGAAAATATCTGTGAGATCCTCTGCGGTAAATGTGCTCTCATTAACACTCTGCAGTACTTCCATGACTTTCTCTGTCTTTTGTAGTTTATCGTAGCCGTCAATAAGGGCGACAATATCATCTCGTGTGAGCTCACTAAAAGAGAGACCCTCCCGTAATGTTTCGGCCTCGTCTGGGTGATTTGCAAAGAGATAAGCGGCAATGCAGAGCGGCCGCAGTGCGGGATCACCACGCATCTCATTTGCCAACTGCAACATTAACTCACTGCTATCGTTTTCCTTGTAGGATTCAAATAAGAAGCGTAGGGCATCAATGGAAATAGTGCAGCCGTATTTTCTAAACCGTAGAAATGCTCGAAAGAGGAGATGGGCCATATCATGTTGGGAGTACTTGACACACTCTTCCATGATTCCCTCCATTATTTGTGAGGCATTGGTGGGATCTATAAGTTGTTTGCGAAGAAACTCCTGTAAAACAATCATCAGATGAGTAACGGTATTTCGGAAGTGAAGTTCCCGCTTGCGTGAACGCCAGACTTGTTGACGTACGTGTTTTAACACATGTCGTGGTTTTGTTTTCACCACTCGGACCAAATCATCCTCGTCCTTCTGTGAGAATGGCTGAAAGGAGGCGGTGCGGTTCAACCAACCGGTTGTGAAACTAAAGGCAGCCCGTCGAGAGAGCAACACCTGACGTCGAAACATATGGTTAGCTATACTACTATATTTCTTTTTTTTCTTTCTTTTTGTTTTTTTTTCACAATCCGTGTATGGGATAAGAAGAAAAGCAAAAAAAAAAGAAATGAAGAATAGAAATAAATGAAACGGAGTGAAAAAAAAACAGAAAAAGAAATCACCAAAAACTCAAAAATAAATAAAAAAAATCATCATCACTATCACTATCATTATAACCATCATCATCGATATTGAAGAATGCATCTGGAATTATGTCAGGAAGAGTTCTAGCAGGCATTCTCTGCGTAACTCTTCATTTCTCGTATACGGGCGTAGTGCCGTGCTCGTCGTTCCTCACATTCACGAGAAAATGCATGCAAAGACTCCGTCAAAACGTTATTCCATGTTTGATAGAAACGAACAGCCTTTTCTACTTCTGTCAGTCGCAGTGCCCCTGTTATCATCTCATCCTCCTCACTACACCAATTACTCAATCGTGTTGTAATCTGTCGAAGGGAGAGTTCTTCCTCTACGGACCAACTCACCGCACCCTTGAGAAGTCTCTTGTTCATCCCTTGGCTGTTACTATGATCCTTGCAGGTCTCTAGTGCACTCTGCAGTACTTTCATCTCCGCTGCCATCGCCTCTGCTTCCCGCAGTAGTGGTTCAAGTGATTCCCGCTGTTCTGTTAATAGACGCAGCAGCACTGCCCGTTCCTTCATCGTCTCATTACATCTCAATTGAAGTCTTTCCACTTCCTGCTGGAGATCATCCCGCACTCGACTGGTGTCAAGCAGTTGTTGCTGTAATTGTTTGTAGGCCATATCACTATCATCATATGTATTTCGCCTCTCCAACGTATTAACAGCATTACTACTACTATTACTATTATTATTATTTATGAACGCATGAGTGGTGTCTACGTGTTCTGCACGGCGAGCACTGGCGAGTTGTTTCTCCCGTAAGGCGGCGGTGAGAGTTCTACTGTGGGTGTTAAGTTCATGGATCTCCGCTTCCAATGCAGATGCCTCCCGCGTGAGACGGAAGTGATGATTTCGAAAGAGCGCCGCCGCAGCGCTGGAGCGGTTTTCCCGTTCTTTAACGTAATTCAACATTTGTTGGTTCGCATCCACAGTGCGGTGGAAGACCTTTTGCGTCTTGTTGTCTCCCATCCCGGAGGCACTCAGTTCCGTTGAGCAGTTTAATCCTCTTGACATTTTTTTTTTTTTTTTGAGTCTCTTTCTTTTTCTTTTTTTTTGTGTAATTCCTCGATATTCCTCACACACAACAATAAAAGGAAGAAAAAATATATATATATATATATATATATATATATATAAAAGAAAAAAGAAACCCAATAATATATTAGAGAGAGAGCGACAATACTTCTCCATATGTACATACAGTGATGGTGTTTTTTCTTCTTTCCTGTGAAGTCATTCTCTACACAACTTCAATGCAGGCAATATTGTTGATGTGGTTCACTGCGTACAGACTGTCGCATTAACGAATTTATGGAAAAGAATCCGAAAAACCAGAAAAAAATAAAAATAAAATGTATTTCGTACGAATAAAAAGAATATACCCATCGTCTCGGATTTTTATAGGACTTATCAGTTTTCAAACGAGCGCACTTGTTTTAGTGATAGATTCCATAAACCACACCTGTTTTTTTTTTTTTTTATTTGTGTATGTGTGTATTTTTCGTTCTTTTCAATAGAAAAAAAAAAAAAAGCACAACCATATCCATTTACGTTTCTCTTTTCTTTTTCCTTCCCTTCTTTAGAGTGGAAAGGGAGCAGAGCAGATTCCTTTTGTGTGTAAAGAGTTCCTCATCTTCAGAATGAAAAGACGCAGATACAAAGGTTAATATCTCTTTCCATTTTTAACGTCTCAATAGTGGTGATGTATACATGCATCTCCCTCTTTTCTTACCAATAAGGTCATCGTCATTAGTACTCATTGTAATATCAGTAGTAGTCCAAATAATAATAATAATAATAATAATAATCGTCAATACTAATTAAATATCAAAATATATTGGAACATGATCTGCCAGAAAACGCCATGTGTCTACCAGTGTGAAGTAAATATAGATAGATATAAATGTATATTACTTAAGTTCTGGTCTAATGTGTAGGTGAGACATCATCCTTCTTGTGTGGTGAATAATACTTAAAAGAGAAAATCAAGAGATGGGGTTACACAAACAGAGTAGGGATATAGAACGAAAGTACTGAAATCATTTCAAAAGTTCGTCTTACTTTCCTTTTTCTCTTCTTTCTTTTTTATTGTGTATTATTATTTGTTGTTATTGGTTTCTGGAGTTGTTTTTTTTTTTTTATTATTAACTATTTTTTTTTTTTTCGTTTACTCGTCATATATTGGTATTCACTCAACGTTTTTCTTTCTTCTTCCTTCCTTTTACTCACACACAATTCACTCTCCAAACAAACACACAGCAACATGAGGTGTTAGTTTGTAACCCACGGAGGAATTACAAGTTTAGTGTGGCATGATGAAGGCACTCCTTTTTCTTTTTTTTCTTCTTCCTTCTCTAATGTTGCTGTTATACCCACCGTACCACTATTACTACTACTATTAGTAATAGTAATAGGAATAGTAGTAGTAGACTGTACCTGCAGGCAGGCCTCTAGTGCGTTAATCTTCTCCCAATCCACTTCCACCGGCTCCTCATCGGAGGAGAGTTCCTCCTCTGCGTGTGTGTGCTGCCGGTGGTGGTGGTGTTCACTGCGTTTGTGCATCCGCCGTTGTGTCTTCCATTGCCGTTCGGCCTCATCATCAGAGAAGTCGGGCCGTGCGTGCGGGGGGAGTTCCTCATCGTTGATGTAACTCGCATCTGTGCCGCGGCGAGTGTCGCACTGCGCGAGGGGATCGTGTAGAATGCGGTGTGTTGTGAGATCATAAGAGAGCAGTGTGCCTGGCTCTAATGGTGGTAATAATGATGAGGATGAGAGTTCTTCTTCTTCTTTTTTTTCTTTTTCTTCTTGTTGTTGTTGTTGTTGTTGTTGGTGTTTGTGGTAGTAGGAGGCGATGGCGTAGGCACAGGCGTGGACCGGCCCCATCACGGCGGCGATCACACCGACAACAGTGCCGTCCGCCAAACACACACGAGTGCCGGCGTCCAACACCAACGCCCCCTCCGCGTGATCGGCCACCACCACTAATATCTCCTCCCGTGTTAACGACACTGTTGTTGTTGTTGTTGAAGGTATACCCACTCTATGATCTTCTTCTTTTCCTTCTTCCTTTTCTTCCTCTTCCTCTTCGAGTCTGGGCACCATGTGTGGGCCCATCACGGCCGTAATGGTGGCGATGGCGGCCTCGGAGACGGCGTTGAGGGGAATTCGCCGCAGCGGCAGTCCGGCGGGGCCGCGCATTAACGCCGCGTGAGTTGCCGCCAGCGCCCCAATCCCAACATCCCGCAGCGCCGCCGGTGTGGAGGTGTGGGCGTCATTCTCCTCCGCGTCCGAGTCCACATCGTCCAAGTCATCCACATCGTGATGGGCACTCGTGTGTTGTTGTGATTGTGAGTGTGATTGTTGTGCTTCTTCTTCATGATCGCCGTGGTGGGATTGGGTGTCGGTTCTGCGGCGTTTGGGAATGGGCTCCGAGTCCACGGAACTCAGCGAGACACAACGGCGGGGTTGGACGCCGCGGACATCTTCCTCAATCTCATTAGAGCTACTGAGAGAGAGACTGGCCATGTTGGTAGGAGGGAAAATGGGAAAAGGAAAAGGAAACTGGTGGAGGGGGGGGGGGAAAAAAAAAAAAAAAAAAAAGAAAGAGAGAAAAAAGGTGTGAAGAAATATATATATATATAGATAGATAGAGTGTGCGCAGGTATAGAAGCAAGTGGGAATCGAATAGTATTACAATACGAAAAGAAGGGCATAAGAAGGAAAGAAAAGAAATAAACTAAAACTTGTACACACATTCACTCACAATTATATATATATATATATATCCCTGACTTTTGTTTTCTATTCCAAAAAAAAAATAGAAAAATAAAGCAAAATCCATCAACCTCCATCATCAATCCTCATCCTCATCATCATCGGTGCCGTAAACACCATACCAGAGATCCACATAACCACTATAGATCCAATTCGCCATTATGCAGTATGTACTAATGCACAGGGCCACAGATGCGGCCATCAACACATTGGATGTTTGGATGCCTGCTCTCTGCGGGCGGCGTTTACACACAGTCCCCACAGGGAGTCTTCTAGAGAGTGTGAAGAGCGACATGCAGAGAGACACCAACAGCCAACAAAAAAAAACAAAGAAGAATACGAAATATATATGGGTAGAAGAAACTATTCCTGTAGCTATCTCCAAAGTAATATGAGCAACAATAAGGTGTGAAATGAAAAAAGAAAAAGAGAAAGAAAGATACTATTAGCATCATCCTCATCACAGAAAGAAAAGAAAGTCTCAGTTGAACAAATAACTTTTACTTTGGCTCTTCTCTTCTTGTTGTTGTTGCCATTCTTTTTATATATATTATTTTTTTTTTCAGACACTAGGAAGGTCATACTCCCCTCCCTTTCCTCAAATACACTTCTGCAATGAACTTTGATCAGATATTGTCCCACAAAAGTTACTTTTCTTTTTTTTCCCCTTTCTTGGTTACTAATCAAAGATAGAGAATCCGTTAATGCTATTAATGGGAACAAGAGACTCTTTCACTTCATATATATATATATATATATATTGACTATGCTACACCACAACACCAGAAAAGTATTTCTTGCTTCCAATAATTCCCCTTTCTCTATCCGTTCTTTTTCACTATTTCTTTTATTTTTTTCCCAATTATATTGTTCTTTTCTTTTTTTCTTCGTTATTATACCCACCTACCTATATATATACTCCCTCAGAGACACACACAAAAAGAGAGAGAGTTTTATTAAACAATTTCCTTTTTCTCTTTTCTTCTCTTTTCGTTACCCCTTTTTTTATTTTTGCCTTCATTTTCTCAACAGCGTATTTCTTTCTTTTTCTTCATTTTTTTTTTCTTTTGCCTTTTTCGCGTTGGTTTAAAAGCCGGGGAAACCACAAATAATAGAGAAAAACAGAAGAGAAATGAACTAAAAAAAAAAAAGATATGTTCATACAAACTTCGCACATGTTTATTTCTATACACGTACATTATTTCTCTTTATCCCATAATGAATGATTTTCATTTTTTTTTTTCTTTTCCCTCGTTATTATGTTCATTATTATCCTTCATATTGTCAGGTTCGTGGAACCGCAAAGAAAAAAACGCAAAAAAAAAGGCTGCAGAGAAATAGATTTACTAATGTAATTCTCTTCCCCTTCTTCTTTTCTCTTCTCTTCACATACACTTTTCTCAGTGACAACACATTTTATAGCTGTACTGCACAAGTTCTCGAGATTATTATTATTATTCACTTTTTTTTTTCTTTTTTTTTTTCCTTTTTTTTTTCCTTCTTTCTTCCCTTTGACTCCGTCATTTTCCCTCACTGAAATGATAATAAATAATAGCAGTAGTATAAGTAATAATAATAGTAATAGTAGACAATAACAATATTATGTGTCAGTATCTTTAGTTATTCCTCTTTTTTCTTTCCTTTCTTTTATTTTTCTTTTCTTTTTTTAATTTCTCTTCTCATTCTTTTCGTGGTTTTACATGTGTGCTTTTTTTTTTTTTTATGCAAGAATCAAAAATGAATGAAAAAAAAAAGACGACCACCAGATACAAACTATTCGTCTTTTTTTTTTTTCTTTCTCTCTTTCTCTCCTTCTTCTGATGGTCCAAACACTCTAAATTGGAGTGGATAAGATGGAAAAGAGAGAGAAAAAAAAGAAATAGAAAGAGATAATAAAAAAAAAAAAGAAAGAAATACGTGACCTCTTTCTTACTTTCTAATTCCCCTTTTTATTCTTCTCTCTCTCTCTCTCTGAGTGTATATATATATATATATACAGACTTAACTACGGTAAACGCAAACACCGTCTGATGGAACCACGTATCGGCACTCCCGCCAGGTGTGCACAAGCGACTTCCACAGCGGCCTCTCATCTGTGATGTACATATCGCCCAGTATTTCGCGAATATACCGCCGAGTGACCACAATTGCATGATAGTGCGGCATCATACTGAAGAGATGATGGACCACGTGAGAGTCGTTAATGTGATGTAGCCAGGCATTAATAAGACTCCCGTAGTCTCTATCGACTGCCGCCACGGCCCCCCGCAAAAAGGTCCACTCCGCATGATTGTAGTGCGGCAGTCGAATATCACTGTGCTGCATGTATGTAATGTACACCAGCCACGCATTCACACAGAGGTAGGGCACACCGTACCACATCAGCACAGCGAGAAATCCCCACCGCAGGGACGCGAGCACGAGAATAAACACCGCGAGGGCCACCGCGAGGGCCGCCGCCGCCACCGCAGGGGCATCCGCCGGCCGGAAGAACGGCGCGTGCGGGTTGAAATGACTGGCGGCCCCGTAGCGGGGTTGGCCGCCGGCATTGCAGATGAGATGCGCAGGCCATCCAAATAACAACATCCGCACAACACCAAAGAGAACCGCCACAGGGGTATCCTCCACAAACTCCGCATAATTCCGATACATCACATGATCCTCCCCATTCCCATCCTTCTGGTTTATCTTTTCGTTATTATTATTATTATGGTGTTGTTTCTCTTCACCGTTGTTGTTGTTATTATTATTATTGTTAGTGTTATTTGGTTCGCAGTGCGGGGGCACAAAGACGAGATCTTTACTGAGATGATTGGTGTGTTTGTGGTGGGTGGCGTGTGTGAGGCGCCAACTCTGATACGGGACCAACAGCGCCGTGTGCAGAATCATCCCAATCGCCTCATTCAACCAACGGCGGGGACTAAAGGCGTGATGTCCACACTCGTGCGCAAGAACCCACAGAGCCGTCGCGTTAAGTCCCTGCACAAACCAAAACGTACACCACAGACTGGCATACATCAACCATGAAACGGTAGTGGCAATGGCTTGTAAAGATACACTCATAATACTGTTGTTGTTTTCATTGTGGGAATTAAATGCCGTTGCAGTGTTTAGTAAAGCTGTGGATATCTGTGCAGCGATGGGAAGCAAAATGGTGTACATCACGGCATATGTGAGAAAGAGCTGAACAAGATCCCGCAGGAGATACAGTAGACTTCGACGTGTACTGCGTTCAAAGTACTTGGCGGGGATTTGCTTTTGAATATCGCGAATAGTTAAAGAATTGGGGGGAACCACGACGGTGTATTCTTTACTGCGGCCGGCTTTCAAAACTAACTTTCTCACATCGCCGGATCCCGCAGAGATGTCCTCCTGCGCGTTCTGCTTGCAAGTATCCATCCTTGAGTACACTATATATATATATATATATATATATATATATATTTCTTTTTTTTTTTCTTTACTTTCTCTGTTGGATCCCCTCTTTTTCAGGTGATTTTCTCTTGTGCCTCCTCTTTTTTATTATTATTGGATTTTTCTTCTTTATCTTTTCACTTGTTTTCTTTTTTTCTTCTTTGTATTGTTGTTCGACTTTTTTCTTTCTTATTACTATTCCACGTCCGTGTCGTTGGAAACACATGATTACATCAGACGAGGCAAATTACAAGAGACATAAAGTATGGAAAAAAAGAGAATAATAAAAAGAAACAAACACACACACATATATATGCAAATAGAAAATGAATGCAGAATCCAAAAAAAAAGTCCTCTTTCACACTCTTTCTTTACAACTCTCTCTCTCTCTCTCTATTTATCTCTCCCTCACCATTACAGACATGATATTCCTCCCTCCTTCATATACACACATATACACCACATCTTGCCTCTTTTAGTCGCTATTGGTGGATTGATTATACATAATGAGATGTTCTGTGTTCACGCCTGCAAGACTGTAGGTGTAAGTGTCCAGAGAAAAGTGTATTCATGTTTCGAATACGAAACGATGGCAAATAAATAATAATAATAATAACAATAATAAAGAAACAATGGCTAAGTAAAAGAAAAGATATTAAAAAGAAAAAAAAAAAACAAGAATAATAACGAGGAAAAATAAGTCGCATGTAACGAAAAAGAACAATGAGAGAGAGAGCGCAAGAACCAAAGAAGAAAAATAAAAGCAACTAAAAAGAAAAAAAAGAATGGTTTTGCTTTCTTTGCTCTTTCAGTTACTCGTTCTATTTTTATTTTTATTTTTCACACCTCACTTCGCCAACTGGAAACAACTACATCCATGTGACTATAATTCACAACATGGAATGCACACTACAAGCACTCTTTCTTTCTTTCTTTATATATATATAAATATATTTATTTATAGGGGCTCTCTACAAAAAGGAGCATATAAAAGAATTTATATTATCTTCAATATACATACAGACAAATATTCATATGCCTTTATTTCTTTCCTCTCATACTTTTCGTTTTTCCTCTTTTTGCGTGACGTGTGTTCACCCATTATTTTCTCTCCTCTTGCCTGCACCTCTTTAACTGTCATCTTGCTACTGTAGCCCAGATACAGACATTTTTCTTTTCTTTTTCTTTTTTTTTTTTTCTTTTCTTCATCTTCTCATTAAACTTTCGCATCTAGTTTCTTTGCAATAGTAGCGATACGTCTATCGATGAGATCTGCCACGGCCTCCTCACTGAAAAACTCTTCAATTCGCCGCCGTCCCCGCATGCCGACTGCCCGTGCGTGTTCTCTGTGCTCGACGACGTATCGCATCAGGTCCCTGGTTCCATTCACGCTTGGAATGGCCCATTTATTCCCCGGAAGTGTCAAGTACCGCAGCCCCGCGGGAACCTCCTCCAATCCGTCAATTGGAATGGCGAAGGTCGCGTTGGGGGCCATGAACTCCGTCGTGCCGCCCCAATTGGTGGTGAGCACCGGAATGCCTGTCGCCATCGCCTCCGTCGCCGGCAGTCCCCAGCCCTCGCAGCGGGTGGGAAGGATAAAGGCATCCACAGTGCAGTACAAGCGCCGGAGTGTGTCCTCACTCAGGTATTTGGCACCACTTACAATGACAATATGTGGAAATTGATCCATGGAGGTAAATCCAGGGAGTTTCTTTGCCCAATTGGTTAATAATTCATGAATGTTCTTATCCGTTATATTTCCTGAATACACCCGCATCCACTTTACTTTTAGATACAAGGAGACATTATGATGTAGAGGAGAGGATGGTCCAAATGCCTTCCAATACGCCTCCAACAAGACATCCCAACCTTTGCGCAACTCCCACTTCAGTACTGCCAAAAATCGAAAACGGCGTTGTTGCTCTTCTGGTGAAAGATGTGGAAGGTTGGTGTAAAACTTCCCCATTGGCAATGGAAGTGGTAGTGGTTTGCAGTCCTTTGGATTGTAGAGATTTACATTCAGTGCCTCCGGGACAACGTGAATCTTCTGAGGGGATACACCAGAGAGTTTATAGACACTTCTAAAGAACTCACCGGTGGCCCACACTTCATCTGCTATCTCTCGCATACCATGTACCCACTCGGGTGAAATAAGAGAAGACTCACTAAGACTTCGTCCAATGTAGTAATCCGCACGGGGTTGAACAGCCCGCAGCGCACGTTCATACGAGTGTGCCCGCATATGCATAATAACAATACGTTTACGACTTGAATAAGCCTTTCGCCAGATATCGGGATGTGAGATAGTTTTAAAGAAAGCTTGGGCGAATGATTCATCTGTTAGTTGTAAAGCGGCTATCTCAGCTCCCTCCGCATCAGAGCAATATCCATTTTTTTGAACACCAAGCAATAATACGGGATAACGTTCTGGCAGCGGGCGAAGGTATCCTACCATCTCTCGCATTAACCCACAACATGTACAGGAGTAATCACGTGCAAAGAAAAGTATCGGGGCGAGTGGAGCATCCACCGCGTGTTTTTGCTCTCGTTTTTGTGAAAGTACCGCATAACGTCTATTCTGCACACGTTCAATTGTCTTGAACCACCGCGACCCCCATTCACAAGCAGCGGGAAAAACTGATTGATTCATAGATAGTAATGGTGTAATAGGAATAGGAGTAGTAGAAGTAGTAGTAAGAGGAGAATTAAGAATTGCGAGGGCGCCACTACTCCATACTTGCCATGTTGGATACATTTCCTGTAATCGCATACTAAGATCCCATCCAATGATATCTGGCACTTCCGACACGAGTAGAGGACGATTTGTTGAAGTTGTAGTCATAGTAAGAGAGGTATTCACGGTATGTTCTTTCATCCATCCAGTGAATCCATTTGCGGAATCAAAGGCTCTACGATGAAATACACCACAGAAGGGAGATACACCATCCACAACTTCACTCCCTCGCACACGTGCATCTTTACCTTTGAGGGCATTATGGCGACGGAGAATATACGGCAGTAACATATTTTTCTTTTTCAATACAGAGTAACCAATAAAGGCTCCCTTGTCTACCACGATAAGATGCTCATCGGGTGGATTATCATTATCAATACTATGCATACTAGACACTATAGCACATTGTACAGCTAATACACGACCTTCATTTCGCCCAAGTGGCTCAAGTAGTTTCTCCATGAAGTTTTCTCTCAATGGGGAAAGAAATTGAGCCATAACAACAAAGTACTCCGTACGCCTTGCCATCTGCAAAGCTCCTTTTACCATTAGAGGAAATCCTACAAAACTTCTACTTCCGAGTCCACTATCGGCAGTACTATGGCTGAGATCTCGTAAATGCTCCCTTGGAAAAACCAAAAGTACTTCACTTACGCATGGCACTATAGACTCAGCCTCAGCAGACCGCAGTGCGGGGAGATCTACACGCCAAGCATGCCAAGTATTGGCACTACTACACGAAACACATCCTACTGGAATGGTCTCAGGCCACAACTTCAACTCCATTGGAAAACTAAACACTAATACGAGGTTCACACTGCTCGCTACCAACGAAGAAGATGAACACCATGCCTTCTGTCGAATGGATTTCGTCATCTCCATCACTGCCTCTTTGTGTGTGGTTGTGCCTTCTGCATGGGTAAGGATAACAGTAATCGATTCAGACATTTCCCCGGCGGTAATATGCACGGGTTTATTTTTCTTCACCTCCATAGGGGGCAGTAGATGTACAAATAAGAATAGACACAGTGTGAAGATAAGCATTGCACGTACAGGACGACCCCGACGATTAGAAGGACTGATAATAGGATTAGCAGTAACGTTAACACTAGCGTCCCGCTGTGAAACTCCACGCGAACGCAAAGAAAACTCTTTACCTAAAGAAAACATATCTAGGCACAATAAAATAAGAATAAAAAACAGGAACTCCTCTTTCCCTATGGTGAAATAAGAGCAACTCAGGATTTTTTTTTTTTTTTTTTAACAAGAAGAAAGTGGGAGAGAAAGTAAGAGAAGCAGTAGCAGGGAAAAGAGAAAAGAGAGGAAAAAAAAAAAAAAACAGAAATAAAACATTATTGCTTTTTCTTTGACTTTCTTTCCCTCAAAAAAAAAAAAACAGAAAAATAATAATAATAGTAATAAAACTAATAATAAACAGAGCATGTCATCGTATTAAACCCCTTCTTGTTTACTTGAAAAGTGTCATCCCCCGTTGACAACAGCAGCAGATTGCTGGGGAAGTAAAAGTTAGTGAAAAAAAAAAAAAAAAAAAAAAAAAACGAAACTACGCGGATAAAATCCACGAGCACATCCATTTGATCTCTGTGGCTTCTTTTAGTGTTTCCTCTGTTCTCTGCAGCAGGCGGTGCACCTTCTGGCGGGCCACGCGCAGTTGCGCAAAGAGTGTTAATTGCCCGTCCACGTCCGTTAATGATGGAGACGACGTGTTCACATCTGTGATAACAGAACCATCAGGTTCCATGAGTAGAAAGAGAGTTTTGTATTCCTTCCCTTGATATTCTTCTTCTTTTTTCTTCTTCTTCTTCAAGTTGACTTTAACAGGCCAACGAAGTTAAGGGTCTTTACTCACATATCCAGTGCAATCAAAGAAAGAAAGAAAGAAAGAGAGAAAGAAAAGAAATGAAGCCATAGTTGAGATACAGAATGAGAAACAAACACATCAGTAAAGAATGAAATTCTTTCAAAACAGGAGACGTGCAATGTACAAGAGGGATGTTGTAGTTCTTTTTTTTCCCCCAGTGTCTTTCTTCTTTCTGTTCATGTTGTCTTTTGCATGTGTACGCACCCGCAATCTCATTCATGCACTCAGTACCAAAAGGAAATTGCCTTGCATATATTCAAACAAACCTATTAAATTGCAGTAGATGCACATAGATAGATCATTTGTCGTAATAATAATAATAAAACGAAGAAAGAGAAAAAAACTTCATTGGTGAAAAAGACAATAATAATATTCATAATAATAATAATAATAATAATAATAATAATAATATTCATAATAATAGTAATAATAATAATAATAAAAAGAAAAGAAAACTTCATTTGTGAAAAGGACAATCATAATAATAATAATAATAATAATAATAATAAAAAGCAGAAAAGGAAAAAAAAACTTCATTGGTGAAAAAGAGAATAATAATAATATTAATAATAATATTAATATTAATATTGGTTTCGCGTTTCTCATTTTACGAATCCCAATGATATCACACACAGAGACATTCAAGCAGATTTACCGATGCAGAAAACAGAAAAAAAAAAAAACTATTCCTCTACACGGTGTTTATGTTGATTAATTAATGAGTCCAATATCGTCAGTAGAGCTATTCGCTGTTGTGATGGCCTTGTGATTTGGCACAACATAAACACTGTCATTCCGTATCTCGAGCTTTACCGTATCTTTACTTCGAATACGGCCGTCAAGCAACATCAATGCGAGTTGGTTCAGTAATGATGTTTGCATGAGGCGCTTAAGAGGTCGTGCGCCGTAGACTGGACTGTAACCCTTCGCCGCAAACCAATCGTACACTTCTGTTGGAACCTCAAGTGTGATTTCTTGTTCCTTTAGCATAGCACTGACTTGTTCAAATAGTAATTCAACAATCTTACGAATTTCTGGTCTGCCGAGACGGTTAAACATGATAATATCATCCAGACGATTAATAAACTCTGGTGTCATTCGCTGTTGAACTTGCCGCATTACATCTTTCATGGCATGTGAGGATGGCACCCCTTCTGGTAATGCCGCGATGATATCGGCCCCAATGTTGGATGTGAGAATAATGATGGTATTCTTAAAGTCCACACGTCTTCCGTGACTGTCTGTGAGGTGTCCCTCATCCAATACCTGAAGGAGAATATTGGAAACACTTGGATGTGCCTTTTCAAACTCATCAAAGAGAACAATTTGATATGGTCGTCGGCGTACAGACTCGGTGAGTTGACCACCCTCTTCATATCCAACATAACCTGGTGGAGCTCCAATCAGACGATGTACAGAGTGTCGCTCCATGTATTCACTCATATCAATACGGCAAATAAAAGACTCATCATCAAAGAGGAATTTCGCCAGTTGTTTACATACTTCTGTCTTACCAACACCAGTGGGACCGAGAAAGAGAAATGAGCCCAATGGGCGTTTGTGAGAGTGTAACTCGGCACGTGAGATGCGTACAACATTTGTAATAGATGCAATCGCCTCATCTTGTCCCAACACACGTCGGCGAAGTTCCTCATCCATGTGAATAAGTTTCTCACGTTCACCTGTCATGAGTTTCTGAACAGGAATACCTGTAGCTCGGGCAATTACTTGGGCAATATCCGCAGATGTAACAGAGTCATGTGTAAGGAATCCTTCCTTCTTAGTGGCAAGTTTATCCGCCTCAATTTCTTTTTTCACTTCAGGAATACGACCATGTAAAATTTCAGATGCCCGCGCAAAGTCACCCTCCGTTCGTGCCTGTTCATATTGATGCCGCAAGACATCCAAATCTTCTGTACGTTGTTTAATGCGATCAAACATAGCCTTTTCCTTTTTCCAGCGTACCTCCAGTTCATCATATTCCTTTTGTCGTTCTTCAATACGTTTGTATATTTGTTCAAGTTTCGCTTTGCCAAGTTCATCCTTGTCCTTCTTTACAGCCTCGGCCTCAATCTTTAGTCGTACCAATTCACGTTCCACACTGTCCAACTGTTCTGGTTTGGACTCCTGTTGCAATCGCAGACGACTCGCCGCCTCATCAATGAGATCAATCGCCTTATCGGGTAATCGACGATCAGAGAGATAACGATGTGAATTCACCGCCGCATACACAAGTGCTTCATCTTTAATAAGACAACCATGATGTGCCTCATACTTTTCTTTAATACCACGTAGCACCGAAATAGTTTCCTCCACGGTTGGTTCCGTCACAAGTACTGATTGAAACCTTCGCGCGAGTGCGGCATCTTTTTCAATATGTCGACGATACTCATCCAGTGTGGTCGCACCCACGCAGTGCAACTCACCACGTGCGAGAGATGGTTTTAACAAGTTCGCCGCATCCATAGAACCATCACCAGATGCACCAGCTCCAACCAATGTGTGTAGTTCATCAATGAAGAGAATAACTTTTCCCTGTGACTCAATCGTATCCTTCAATACCCCCTTTAGTCGTTCTTCAAATTCACCACGATATTTAGCTCCAGCCACAAGGGATCCCATATCAAGTGCATATACCTTTTTGTTTTTAATGCTCTCCGGCACCTCACCACTCACAATACGTTGGGCCAAACCCTCCACAATGGCGGTCTTACCCACACCAGGTTCACCAATGAGTACAGGGTTATTTTTCGTCCGTCGGCTTAACACTTGAATTGTACGACGAATAATCTCCTCACGACCAATGATAGGATCCAGACGACCAAGACGCGCCTCCTCTGTTAAGTTACGCGCATACTTGTTTAGAAACTCACCAGGAGGCACCGCCTGCGGGTTCACCCACGCACGTCCTTGTTGTTGATTGTTGCCGTTGTTGCTGTTTCCACCACTTCCACCACTTCCACCACTGCCCCATGGAGCCACACTTGATTGCAGACGGCATTGCACACCACTTGAGAGAGAGAACGGCATCATTGTTGAAGAAGCCGTAACACCACCGCGGCTGCATTTCATCAAAGCAGCTGTTAAAGCCATACCACCACGGAAAGATACACGTCGCATCATTGTTTCTGGTTGTTGTTGTTTTTTTTTTTTTCTTTACTGTGATTCTCTTCTTTTGTGTGACTTTTTTTTTTTTCTTCTTGATGTTCTTGTTCTTTATTCACTTGTTTCTTCGTTTATTCTCTTTTTTTTCTCTCTTTATTCGATGTTGTTTAGGTAATGTATCGTATTACGCAATATGAAAATTTCTTTGTATCACAGCAATAACAATCAAACGAGAAAGCAAGAAAAAAAAAAAAAAGGGGAGAAGGGGTAAAAAAAAAAACCACACAGATGGAAACTTTTTCATTCAATTCAATATTAGGTAGAATACGAAAATAATAATATTAATATATAAGAATGAAAAACTTTGCACGACGATTTGATACAATTGAACTCAAATACACATCTCAGAATATGGAGCTGTACATCTTTTTTTTTTTTCTCTTCTTCTTTTTTTTCTTCTTTTTTTGTTTCTTTTTTCTTTTCGTTTCTTTTTCTTCTTTTTCAACGCTTGCACCACCCTCACTCACTTTGCGGCGTTATGGCGTCGTCTCTTTCTCTCTGTCCTCACTTCCCCCTATAGGGCGTGGCGGGGCAACGTAACCAACATAAACATCATTCTCCTGAAGATCTTCGTCCTCCTGATCTTCCTGTCCTTCTCCCCGATTTGATTTCCGCAACTGATTCTGCGTGTGCCCCTCATCTCCGTGATTGTTGCGTCGTGGATCTCGGCTTTCGCGTTGTCGCGATTCGGCGTAGCTGCGTGCGAGTGCATCCAGAGTGTCATGCAGTTCATTATATCGCTCCTCATATAGTTCTGTCTGTTCTCTAAAGTACTTTAGACTGGCAAGCATAGCCCGCATCTGTCCCGCCTTCTTTGCAAGGTTCCCCTGGTACACCGTTATCTGCTCTGCCATCTCTGGCCCCAGTTGTCGAGCCACCGCTGCCTTTGCACTGAGATAGGCGGCCTCCTCTTGTTGAATGCGTTTTTCCTTCTCTGCGAGCTCCACACTGCGCTGGACGAGTTCACGATTTAACTCCCCAACACGTGCATTAAGGGCGTAGGCATCGGGATCTGACCATGAGAGAACGTGATCGGGATGGAGATTCATTGGTCGCTCACACTCCGCTAGTAACGCCCGCGCCCGGTGTTGTGCCCGTCCCAACTCTCGACTAGCGCCATTCACAAGAAGCCGTAATTCTGGTAAACGACTGGTAAATTGCCGTAGTCGTTGAACTTCCTGCGTGAGTTGGGCCGTTGCATGCTGCAGTTGCGCAATCGTGCGGAGACGTTCCTCATAGAGAGAGGCACCGTGCTGCAGTAACGCCCCCTGTACACGTACCTTCTCATACAGACTTGCGAGTGTATCACAAGCATCTACTACTTGAGTGCTAAGGAGATCACGTTCCTTTTGAACATCACGAAAGCGGCGCCGCTGTCGTCCAATCTCATCTTCACCTTCTGCAAATACATCACCAAGACGGCGTACTTCCAGTGCGTACTGCTGCACAGAACGGTTCTTCTTATCTACGCGTAGGTGGAGGGCAGCAATTTGGCCCTCAAGCCCTCGTCGCTGTCGAGTGAGATTTTCAATAACAGCATCTTCCGCAAGTAAACGACGCTCCCGACGCACCACTTCCTCCTGCATCTGTTTGATTTGAGCCAGAATAAGTTTAAAGCGTCGTGATGCATCTGTGACTTCGTTACGGAGTTGAGCGTAGTGTTTTGCGTATGTCTTTCTCTCATTTAACATAGATTCCATCAGATTTTGTTGCTGATGTAATCGTTCCTCTACATCTTTTACCTCATCTAACGCATCTGCCAATTGTCTTTCACGTCCCTGAACTTCTGTCATAACACTTGCACACTGCACGGCAGCAGCTTTCATCTGTTGTTCATATCCTGCACATTCCCGTGTGAGTTTGTAGATACTCTCATTCTGCCGTTGGGCCTGCTCCTCATATGATCGCAGTTCATGTTCCAGGTGATGTGCCTCCATACGCTGCTCTGCTAACCATAAACTCTGCTGTTGTGCCTTTGCAGCAGCGTTTAGTACATTACCATGAAGGATATCTCGCTCCCGTGCGACAGCCGCAATGCGTCGCTCATCCGCATCGGCTGCACGTACTAAATCGTCAAGTTCCCCCTCACGCAACGTCAACTCTTCACGTGCGGCCGTTTTTGCCGCTTCTGCTTCTGCACGACGGCTTTCCATTGCAGCATTACGGCGTGTAGCTGCCTCTAGTAATTTTAGTTCACGACGGTGGGCACGACTGGCGGCCTCCACTGCAGCTTCTTTACCTTTCAGTTCCTCCATCAATTCATTCATGCGCCGCTGTAGTGCATCATTCTCTTCATTACATACTTGACTCGTGCGATTCACATTCTGTAACTGCCGTGAAAGTTGTTGGTACACATCTGTAAGCCGTGCGGTTTCCTCTAGTGTTTCCTTAATTTCCGCCCCATGACGCTCATTCTCTTCACTAAGCTGATCAATCACTGCCTGTCGCTCTTGTACTGCAGCAACTCGGCGTGTAATCTCCTCTCGCGTGAGACGTAGTTCTTCCTCTTTACGTAATCGTATTGCCTTTTGTTCCTCAGCCTCCTCTTGTTTCTCTTCTACGGCGTCAAGGACGGCGCGAAGTTCCATATCACGACTGCGTTTAGTCTCCAGTAATCGCTCAAGTCGACGTACAGTGCTACTGTGCTCCTGCCGTGCGACACCAAGTTGATACTCGAGGGTTTCCTTCTCCTTCAGTACACTTTCATGGGCGCGAATAAGGCTCTGTAACGCTGCCTCCTGTGCAGAAGATTCAATAGGACGATGAGCACGCTCCTCAATATCACGCAGCTCACGTTTGAGTCCATTCACCTTATCTTTTAGTACCACCTCACGTTCTTTACTGGCACGGCACTTTTTCTGAGTCTTTTCAATCTCAGCTCGGAGGTTGTCAATAGTGGATTTGTCGCTACGCGTTAGTTCCTCCGCGGCATGTAACTTGGTCACACAAGACTCAATATCCGCTTGCAGCTCTATACACTTACGCAGCAACCGAGTCTCTCCGTCGTGGCTCTTTAGAAAGGAGTGATGTAGTGCAGCGTATTCTACACGAAAAGCATCAAGAACCTCATCGTTCTCAAGACCCATCAGTACTTCTTGAAACCCTCTTTCATAGTACTCAAAGTTACGGTTATCCTGCCGTATCTCGTTAAAAGTGTTCACATCACTCACAAGGTCACCAGAAACGATCGGTAATTCAGCAGTGGTACCTGATCCACCTTCACTACTGGATGGAGCATTCATCATAACGCATATATGTCTATATAAGATCTGATTATCTCCTTTTCCTTTTCCACCTCCCTATACTTCTCTCTCTCTATCTATCTCTCTCCCTCTGGGTGTGTGTATGTATACAGTGTACCTCCGTTCTTTTCAGTGAACTCCACCACCTGGTGTAGGAAAAAGCATAAAGCAAGCAAGTGAAAAAGAAAAAAAAAGAGAGAAAAGCAAAGAAAAAAAGAAAAAAAAAAAACACATCGTTACACAGATGAAAAAAAGTATATTTCTCTGAGACACTGCAAAAAAAAAAAACAATAATGTAAGAAAAGAAGCATATATATATATATATATATATATATATATATATATATATATTCATCTTCCTCTCGCTTTTGTTTTTTTGTTGTTGTTCTTTCTTCTTGGTGTCTTCAACAGATTGTTGTACGCATTCTTTTGTCTTCAGTATTTTTTTTTTCTCATTTCCATTCATTTTTTTTCTTTTTGAGTGAGGGAAGGAGCAGTTCTTCTTCCCCTTGACAGCTGTTACTCTTGTTGTTGTTGTTGTTGCTACTGAAAGACCACTCACTACTATACATCAAGTGGCATGGGATTCTCCTGAACCCAGGCCCTGATACGGTCAACATCAGACTGCAGGGCCGCCGGCCACACTACACGTTCAAGCAGCAGCAGGAACTCCGCTCGCAAGGCGTCGTCAGAGTCACTTGGTAACAACGCTTCCTCCTTCGCAGCAGCGACCAGTTTCTGCTGTAACTCACTCTTCACATGATTTGCCTCACGTATCGCCTCTTGAAGGACTGCCATCTCTGAAGCAGCCTCAGCTTGCATCTTCTGGGATGAGTCAATGCGCTGCATAAAAAGGGCTTCTTGCTCACGCAGATATAGCATGTCCGCACGACAGTGCTCTGACTGCTCATTTGTTGTGACCGCCTCAACGAGAAACCGCTCACGAGCACGCTGGATCCACGTAAGAAGTCGACGGGCGTGATAATTCGCACGAATACCAGATGCCTTCATATCGCGTGTCAACATGGCAGAATTCCACCACGGATTACCTGCATCGCGCTCATCAATGGTGGACATTGCAGCGATACTTTCGTTTATCTTTCGTAATGGTTCCTCCATCGCTTCTAAAGCCTCGCGTAGTGTACTTCCAGGGACAAACCGCGGGACATGCGGCTCTCCAGCGTAGTCACTAACAGATTGTTCATCGCTTAACCCTTCATCAGCAGCAGCAATACGTGCACGTCGAATGTCCTCTATTTCCTGACCCATCTCAGACATCTCGTTTACGCTATCTCTATTGCCAGTAGGACTTCTCCCCGTGTACTCTTTTTGTCTTTTAGATAACAAGGCACGGCGTGCCCGCTCTTGAAGCAATGACTGCACTCCACCGGGAAGGGGTGCTTGATTCATACTCTTGATATTACTACCACCACGTGCAAAGTCAGCATTGAGTTGGAGTAGTGTATCATTCAAATCAATACACACACCCCGAATCTGGGCGGCATTTTGACGATGTTTAGCAAACATTGGCGGTAATCGTCGTGTGTTAGGTGAGATTGGTCCTCCACCGAACCCCAGGGATGGGTAACGGTGGAGTTGAGGTAAAGTAGTACCGCGTGATGAACCCACTCCATGTAGTTGCTGCTGTTCTTCTTCTTCCGGTGGGTTCATAGCCTCTCCCTTTTTTTTCAGGGCATTAAGTTGTGCCAAGATGGCATCGCGGAACGTTCCCCTGCCACCAGGAGGCTCTGTAGCACCCATTTACCCAGACTGAAAGCAAGTGAAAGCAAAGAATAAAAAAAAGGAATAAGTGGAATGAGTATCACCCTTCCTTCCTCCCCGCCCCCAACCAATATATATATTGGAACTGAGTCTGTGCGTGGGGCTATTATGCACACTAAAGAAATAAAAGGAGAACAAAAAAGGAAAGAAACATGAAAAAGAAAAACAAAGCAAGAAATTTATTGGATTACGCGACACATTACCACATCAACAGAAAATATTTTACTGCTTTAGATGTCGCCCTAATCCTGCACACAAACACAAGAGACACAGAGACACCACATTCAGATAACGAAAGCTTGTGTAGGAACACCCGAAAAAAATTAATAAGAAAAAGACAAAAATACGCACGTACTTGCGTACCTTCTTTCTTACGCCAGATATAGAGTTCCAGGGTAGCTCTTCATTTCGGTGATATTCTCCTTCTTTACTAGCTTTCTTTCTTTTCTTTTTTTCTTTTCTTTTTTAATAGAAATCCAGTACCAACATCATCCCCATCAGTGAGGAGGCGGAGCTCTCAAGTGCCGCCACGGCCCGCCGACAACGCAACATCTCGTTTATAGCCTCTGCCGTCCCTCTCTGTGGGTTTATTGCCGATGGTAGACCAGCCCCCATTTCACTCCCTGTGGGTGCCATAGTAGTAGTAGTAGTATTAGTAGTAGCAGCAGCAGTAGTAGTAGAGGAAGAAGTGGAAGAAGAAGAAACTCCAGCTACAGATGTTACAGCTACCAGAGTTTGTCGCTCCATTGCAAGACGTTCGAGTACATTACGCAGTGCCTTCGCAACTTGCACACGCACTGTTGGCAGTAATTCTCCCTCCATACTACAACTCCAAAGAAAGATGGAGTTCTTCGGTTGTCGATCTGCCATGACCCCACTCTTTGGTACTTCTTGCTGTCGCACGTAGCCGTCTCGCATCATGGCATGGAGTACCTCGCGTGTACGTGGAAGTGTAGCGATAGCCTCCTCTGCTAGCATGCGGTCCTCCATATTATGGTGCATGAGCAGCAACTTCACAATCCGCACGCCTAATACCCCATGCCGTGCAAACACAAGCCGCTCGCAACAATCACGTCGCATGGCCTCCACGGCGTTATCGTATCGAAACCTGTACGGCCCTTCCATGGCTGCAGAGGAGGTGCCATCGTTACTCAGCACCGCATCACCATCTGGACGGCACATGCGACTGACGGTATCCACAACGACGGCGGGGTCTGTGTGTGGGAGTTCGCGAAGAAGTGCGCGGAGCGGTAGGGCGGGACTTGTGCGTGGCGGGGCGGGTGGAAATCCGGCGGGGCGCATTTCGAGTCGACGGGCGCGACTTGCCGCGGTGAGTCCGTCCATCAGAGCTGCGGCGACTACACCGCCGTCGGGGTGTCGGCCGGCGAGGAGCTCGCGGTGGATGACATCGCGGAGCATCTCGCAGAGAAGATGGCCGGCGTGCAGGCGACAGGGATCCGGCGAGGCGGAAAGCGACGGCGTTGGCGTTGGCGTTTGCGCATGAGAGGAAGATGGAGTTTCAGCCGAGACACACTCAATAAGGCCAAGACGCTCCATCTCCCGAGCGCAATGCCGCAGCGCTTCTGTGAGGGCCGGCCGACGTTCCATCGCCAGTCGCATCGCCACATCAAATGGAACTGCCGCGAGTTGGTAAAAGACCATCAGAAGCGTTACACCCGTCTCACCATAGCGACGTTGAAAGAACTGTACAATGAGCGGGAATAGTGTGCGCAGTAGGAGGCCGTAACCAAGCGCAACACTATATGTGTGAGTTTCCCCATCGTGTTGCACAACGCGATGCAGAAGGAGACGTGTCATGAGTTCCTTAATCGCCGCATCCGTAGCGATATCACCCAAAGAATCGGAAACAGGGACAGCAATGGGAGAACGTACTTGCTTTCCCACATCACCTGCAAACTGTCCTTGTTGTTGTTGCTGCGATAGCGGATTATTGAAAGGCTCACGCTTAACCGTGTCTGCAAGATCCTTTAATGTCATAGGACCATTTCTATTTAATGTTCGCACAAGTGACTCTGCTAGTGGACCAAGTTGTTCTCTTATGGTGAATTCCAACAACTCCTCGTGTGCCGTGAACACTCGCGTGTGTTCCTCGTGAATACCATCGTTTCGCCGTGACATAAACTCACTCACTTTTTACTCCTCTCCCTTCTCCAATGTATCGTACCTATCTCTCTATCTCTCTCTCCTTTTTTTTGATTGTGTGTGAGGGCTGTGTACTCTCTCTTTCTCTCTAAGTCAGGCATTAGTTAGTCATTTGTATTCACAGGGAATAAGTATTGTTTAAATAAATAATAAATAAAAGAAAAGAAAGAAATAGTGGAAGAGGTCTACAAAAAAAAAAAAAAAAAAAACAGACGTATCCATACGTACAGAGATATTTCCTCTGAGACAGTGACAAAGAGATTAAAATAGTAACGGCTAAAGAGATAAGGGGGTGACGAAGAGAAGGACAAGAAATGAAAGAAACGGAGAAACAGCGACTCCATACAAATTATATGCGATCATATTTCTCTGGGTTTTCCTTTACCCCTCATTTCAACAATAAACATCATTTTGTCCTATTTTTTTTTTTCTTTCTCTCTCGTACTTCCTTCAATCTTCATCTGATCGGTAATCTCCCTCCAACGGCATGTGAGTACTTTCTTCCACTGTTTCTTTTCAGTTTCTAATTCTCATCATTTTAATGCTATTCCCTTTTCATATTTCTTCTTTTCGCTTCCACTATCTCCAAACGCGGAGAAAAGAAAAACATAAGCATTTTTTTTTTTTTTTAATATACTTTTAAAAAGGTATTTCTGCAATTCAGCCTTTTGTTTGTTGCCAAAAGTTAGAACTCCAAAATGTATCGGTTACTCCTTTTTTTTTCCCTCCGTATCCCTCATTTTGGGAGGGTGCAATGAAAAAGAGACATCCACAAAAAAAGAGAGAGACGGAATAAGAAGAAGAGAATAGTCTACATCCTATTTTCTCCCAATGGCAATAAAAAGAGTGAAAAGAAAATTATATTTACCGGATCGCTGACGAACAACCTCAGAAAGGAGTTAATCGCAAAAACCGTATTTTATCTCCAAGAGTCCCCATCAAAATGAAATTCGAGTTACTTGCCTAAATGTGAAGTCTTGAAAGTGCCTTTAACCCGAAACCCCAGCAAAATGTGGAGAGGAGAGGGTTGTGTATTGGACTTTCAAAACTCACGCTCTAGATCAATAACCTTTCTTGAAATATGTGAGAAAATAACATTATATATATATATATATACGTTTTATTTATTTACTTATTTAAGTTATTTTTAATTTAACTTACCATCCATCAGCAAGGTGAGACTATTTCTTTCAGAAATTCTTAAAAGAAAAAAATAAAAGGGAAGACACTCCCCCTCCTTCCTTCCTTCCTTCCTTATCTATCCGCCAAGTGCTTAATCTGCGCCACGCGAAAAAAAAGACAGTGGAAAGAGCACATAAAAAAAACAATAACACACTACTCGTATCAATATGTAGTGATCACGCTCACCTATGACAGAATCGTCAGCTCTCAGTAATCCTTCCTCCTCTATTGCTACTAATGTTTAGTAGGGTTCATGAGCTGCAAAAAGAATTCTGTCATGCTGTACGCAAATACGAGTTTCGGTGCCGAGGCAATCACCTTTGGGGTGAGACCCTTAAAGAGTGCCGAGGCTCCCTCATCTTGTAAAAGTCGTTTGAGTGCACCAGCAGCACTAAGCTTAGACCCAGGATCTTTATTTTGCACGCGTGTCTTGATCACATCCATGGGATTGGTCACTGTAACACCCAAACAAGCGCCTACAGTGGAGGCACACATGTTTTGAAAGAATGTCGCTTTGCGGTAATCCTCAAGGTGAAAGACAACATCCTTTGTAAAGGCAGCACCGCCAAAGAGAGAAAACGAACCGGGTGCGTTTCTCATCATTGTCACACACGTACCGGCATACATTCCAGAAATTCCCTCACGCCGCACCAATTGCACCACTCCATCACGTAGTGCCGCCTCGTTCGTTTGACTTAAGACCTTAAGGCGATCCAATGGCAACAGCATCACTTCGCCTATGCCAACAAGGCAACCGGCGATAGATTCCGTCATGAGTTTTGAACGACGACCAAACACACGTGAAAATCTATCCTGGTGGTGTTTTTGTAAGTGATCCCGGACAAGCGGTTGGCCAGCAAACTTATACACTCGCTGGAGTACTTTATAGCAGACAGCATAAGTGGAACCAGGGTAAAGGTACATAAATTTTTGTCCTAAACTCGCATCTGCCTTGTTGCGGAAGATGGTTTGGTTTAAGTTATGCATGGTACCGGTGAAGGAGTCACCTGCGACACGAGTTCGATTACTCATCAGTCGCTTCGCCACAGTATCAAATGGATGGAATATGGCAATTTCCAGAGCACCTGCCATGGTGGCCGCACCGGCATGGCCTTTGAAAATCTTTGAGAACAATGAAGCCTTCTGTTGCTGTTGCGGTTCTACAGCCGTCGGTGTTGTTGTCGCCACAGTTCTCATTTTATTACTGTTTTATCGCCTTGATGTGTTGTCTCTATTTATCTGTTTGGTTTATTGATTATTATGGACTTATTTACCTTCCTGTTTATTTGCTCGAAAAGAACTGTGGTATCCAATTCTCGCGTCTAGCTTTAGTATTTCGTTATTTGTTACTGATTGTAATTTGCCTAAATGTATATTACATATTTATATTCATCCGAAGGGATATAAAAAATAAATTAAATAAGAGAAAACGCACATATATCGATAGAGATATATATATATTTTTTTTTAGAAATAACAATAGAGAAATGGACCAGAAAAGAAAAAAACACTTACGCAGTTTATGCATGCGTGACATGTCCTTTTTTTTTTTTGCAATTCACTGAATGCTTGTCGATAGGTACCACTAGATCAGTCATCATCCTCATCTGGTGGTGGTGGTGGTGGTAGTTCGTCCTCATCATTCTCTTCATCCTCATCTGGGGGTGGTGGCGGTAGCTCATCATCATCATCATCATCATCATCATCATCATCATCATCATCATCATCATCATCATCCGGTGGGGGCGGTGGTGGTTCATCATCACTGGTATTATCACTATTGGTATCGGCTTCATCGTTATGATCTTCTTTCTTGCCATTTCTAGTCTTGCTGTCTTCAGAATGCTGCAGTGCAGCAGCAGCAGCAGCAGCAAATGCTGCCCCGCCTCCAACTGGAATGGCATTGTGAGCATCCATGCGGAATATCCCACTGTATCCTGCGGCCCGCAGTGTTTCTGGCAGAAGACCATCCTCATTTAATTCACTCAGTTCATCATGTGTACCCACGAGTAGAGGACCAACAAAACAGAGTGGCAATTCAAACTCCGTGATGGCACTACTGCACTGCAGGTGTGGTTGACGCCACCCAAAGGTTTCTTGCTTTCCTAGAAGTTCCTGCACGAAATCCCGCATTTCCGTTGAGTCAACATATATTACATTCACAGTAATACCAAATGCGTCCAGTAGTGCCAACATGCGACGGCAGTTATCGGCGGTACGTCGAACAGCCTGCATGGCTGTGACATACACCGTGACCTCCTGCATCAGCACAGGCCTCTTCCACCACTCACAGACACAAACAATCCTTCTAGCCCCTACTGGAATAGTGAAGATAATAATAGCGACAGTAGTAAGAGAAAAAGAAGGGGAGAGAGATAGAGAAAGCAAAAAATAAAAATAAAAAGGCATTGATAATAGTAGTGACATAAGTGGTACACGACAAATACAAATACCAATATAAAAAGTACTATTTGTTGTTAACATTTTTTCACTGTTTACACGATGATTTTTTTAAGGTGTTCTCTTTTCTTTACTTTTTGTTTGTATTCTTCATGTCTCTTTCGGATCGCCTCTCTCAATCTTTTCTTTTTTTTTTCTTCTTTTTAATGGTTTTTTTTTTTTTTTTTTTCTTGTCTATCCTATCGTGATTCTTTCTTCTTTTCCTGAATTACGTATCAGAGCACTTCTTCATCATTTTGCTTTTTTTTCCCCTCTTGCCTTTCTACTGTGGATGTGGCGTACAACTCTTACTATTCCACCAACGTCTACCTCTCCGTTCCTCATTGTATACCCCACCACGAACAGTAGTACTAGTAGTAACAGTAGTAATAGTAAGAGCAATCACTCTCATGTTATGCACCCCCTTCTCACATTGCGGCAGAACTACTATTATTGTTATCACCATCATCTTCCCTACCCGCATGACCTGAGATGCCGCGCCGCTTCTTTGACCGCGCCTTTGACAAGAGTCCATCCACTGTGTTCATCACATGCTGCTGTGCCTGTAATGCACCCATCAACTCGCGGTACTTTCGTCCACGTTCCTCTTCCGTTTCTGCCACTGCGTGTTCACGCTGGCGTCGTTCCACATGTGCTTCCGCCTGCAGATGTCGTACGAGACGTTTGCGGTCCTCCCGCACCTCCCGCCGCATTTCCCGTACTTCTCGCTTCAGTGCACTACTGCTATCTTGTGATTCCTGCAAGAGCGGCTCATACTGGCGAATAGGGCGAGGTCGGAAAGAGCGCATAGCGAGTGGCGTGCGGCGATCCCGCATCGCATCGGCATATTGTGTTAACTGTGCCAGAAGAGCATCATGATCTTTACGCACAGCAGCAGTAAATGAGGAAGTAGAGTCTGAATTGGATGCTGATGTTTTCCAGAGGTGTGATGCAGCAAGGCGTTCATGTAGTGCAAGGAAGGGTTCAAGCAGACAACTGGAGAAGGCCGGTATGGTGCGGTACGCATCGGCCAGTGCAGAGAGTAGACGGTAAGCATAACGTACAATGCTTGATGCATGTACATCTGTCTCTAAAACCGCAAGTGTTGCCTGTAGCAGCGGTTCCTCCTCCTTCTCCTCTTCTTTATTTTCCTCTTCTGTTGTAGTAGCACCAACCCTCGTACTTCCACTATTCTTACTATTCTTTTCTTGTTCTTGCGGTTGTGTCTGTTGCAGAGAAAGCAAAGCCTCCGTATCACTTACACCACGTTCCAGTAAAGGAAATGGCACACATACCCCTTGCAGTCGCACAGGTTCCAGCACAACACGCGGAAGAAGTAGTGAGATGATGTTCAGTGGTGCAATAATAGCTTCAGCGCAGAATTTCCCACCTGCCAATACACTGTTACAAAGTAGTCCAGCGAGTACGGCGTACACCCGTACATGGGCAAGTGTTTTGAGACGCATCTGCAGTAGCGTGGAACTGAGAAAGAGTAGAAATGGTGTAGTCACTTCATGACGGTAGTCTGTCATGGGAAAGATGCGGGAGGCGGCATGCAGTAAAAGGAGTGTTGTCTGATCTACTGTTCCAGAATGTAAAAATGCACGTTGAGCATCAATAAGAAGAAGACGGAATGTCTGGGCTGTGTGCAAGACATGTTTACGCGCGTAATGGTACAAACGTAAAAGCAATGCGTGATATGTTTTCCCACGCGACAAACGGGAAGCACGTGATCCATTCGTTTCACGACTGAGTGACTCCATTGCAGCCAAAATATCCTCTAGCTCTCCCGTCACTCCCTCTCGTTTTGTTGCTGTTCCTGATGTAGGAGCCCCATCCTCTGGTATTGTCTTAGATTCTTCGTCGTTTTCTTCTTCACTCATATCACCATCCTGCTGCTCTCTTCCCTCGTCACTGTCGTAGGCGGAGGAGATGTCAAGATCATCTTCTGCCTCAGCATCGTTATCATCATCCATTTGGTATGCATGATCACCACCACGGCTTACCCACTCCGCTTTTGTCAACTGTTCATCGTTTTGGGAAACTAATGGAACAGCACCACGATCACTCTCAAGTAGTGCTTGTTGATGTTGTTGTTGTTGTTCTTCTTCTTCCGTTAGAGTACGATCGGCAGCATGCGCTCGGCGTGTCTCTTGTCGCATAGACTGCATCATACGGTCAAAATCGTCAGCATCATCATTGTTGTTGATAATGTTCTTTGGGTGACTAACAGAGCTATTACCTCCCTTTGTCTCTTCTCGCTCCGCCACGCGCTGCGATGATGATGTTGATGTTGATGGTGGTGGTGGTGGTGGTAGTGTACCAGCTGCTAATGCTGCCTCCGCCTCTTTGTCAATTGCCCCTTGACGTACTTTTTGCAGCAAGGCCATATCCGCCTCATCCAAAAACGAGGAACCATCCTTTTGGGTTCGCTCCCCTTTGGTTACAGTCTTTGTTGATGTTGATTTTCCTTTTTTTGCTGCTCCAGTGTCGGCGAGGGGGGCGACGGTAAAACTACCATCGTTTCGGAGTGACAACACCTTCGCCACGCGGTTCGTGTGGAAGGACTCCAGTAATGCCCGTACTTCCGGTGTACCAGACTGTGCAAAAGCATCACGCTCCTCCTGTACCTTATCTCTCCGTTGAAGAAGATGCATCACATCATTGAACTCTGCGTCAATTGCGGTTGTCTGTTGTTCACGCTCTTCACGATCACGACGTGCTTGGGCTCGGTGATCTTTGCTGTTCGCCATCACCTCTTGGAAACGCTCCTCACGTGTCTTTTTCCGTTGTGGTGCCTCCGCCTCATTCATACTTCCCTCGATGTCATAATAACTGCGGTTATTATTATTATTATTATTATTATTATTATTATTATTATTATTATTATTACCGCCGTTGTCGCCGTTCTCCATCTCTTCTCTTGTGCGACGTGTAGCTCCCAAAAGCCCAGTTCCTAGTTGCCGTGAAGTGGACGACATGTTATTCTTCGTCTGCTCTTCATTGTCTGCCAAACGGAACTTATCCGCACGACGCGTACTGCGTGATTCCACCGTGTGCATACCAGCACGCCGCGGTGGAGCAATACCAAAGGTCGCTGTTGTTGTGCTTGTCGTTGCTCTTGACTGTAGTGGGCGATCACCACCAAACCGGTCAAATCTCCCTACTGCAGTCGCTGTTGTTGTTCCTGCTGGCATTGGAAGTGTTGGTGCTCCTGTGCGATTGGTGGCTGTCGCTGCATCTGACTGTAACGCCTCTTGAGCTCGCAACTCTTCTTGGCGTAGTTGAAAACGACTTTGTTTTGCACCGAACCGCGTTGATGATGATTTCGCCTCTCTGGAGGCTTTTCGCTTTTCGTGCTGCTGCACAAGTTTTGCATTTGAGGCACTCCGTCGCATCACGTCTGTTTACCTGTGTGCGTATCTGTTTATATATTTATATGTGTGTGTAATTTACTTCCTTTACTTTGTGTTCACCGCGTCTCGCTATTCCCTTTATATGAATAATATCCCTACACGTGATACACACACACACACGCAATCCAGCCCCACTGCAGTATGTTACATTAGAGAAAATTTGTAGAGGGAAGATTAGAAAGAGAAGGCAAGAAGTACAGGATATGGGTGTCACAGTAGAGGAACACAAGAACAACAAAAGAAACAAAGGATATGAACACCAGCGTATGTGTGTGCATATTTGTGGGTGTTTAATTATATGCAAGTTTATCATCCATCATGCATCATAAGATATCACCAACCGTAAGAATCCGAAATAATAATAATAATAATAATAATAATAATAATAATAATAATAATAATAACAATAAATATGTGCAGAAAATACACATATATACACACGAGGATAAGAGAAAAAAAAAACAGGGGGACAAGATCATGGAAAAACAGGAAGAGAAGCAAAAAAAATAGTGACTCAAGCCACAAAATGTCATATTACCTCCTCTTTTAGACTTCTTCAAGACAGTAGCCGTTTTTTTTTTTTTTTTTTTGCTTTTGCTACTATCCCTACTACTACTGACACTTCTGACTCTCTGTCCATCTTTCTTTCTCTTTTTTTTCCTCTAACTGTCCCCCTTTTTTTTTTTTTCTTTCTTCGTTCTTCTCGCCCCTAAATATCATACTTGCACCTTTGCTTGCCTTTCTCATTACATTACTGATCATCATCAGCTTCACTGTATGCGGCAACCATGCCCTCTGCACACTTTTTTAACAACTCCACCACGGGCGCACATTGCAAGACATCCGCTTCAACCGGCAACTCCATTGACAAATTCGACGTTGACGATGCATCCGTTGTCTTTGCTTTGGCTGTTCTTCGGCTGTGTGCTGCAGCATTATACTTGTCGTAGCATTGGACAACTGAAATCACTTCATTCTCACATTGAAGTTCATGTGAAGGGACCAGATATGCGTAGCGGGTTTCCTCAATGCTGTCAAGTGTACTATGCAATGCTTCCCCGGCCTTTAACAACTTCGCACGCTCCTCCCGTACCACAGACTCTAAAACTGAATCATCCTTTAATGGTTCCATTTGAACAACCGGAAGAGGACGTGTCTTCCGCTTCAACTTCTCCATACTAGCTGCTGCTTCAGCTTCAGCTGTTGCAGTTGCAGTTGCTGTTGCTGTGGTGGTGGTGGTAGTGGGGGTTAAATTTGGGGTTGTTAGTGCCGCAGAGCTTGTCGTGATTGATCCTGCGGCTGTGCTCCACCGCAGAGGAGACGGTCTTGGGCCACTAAAGAACCACGAAATCGGGTTGTACCATCTAAACGGTCGCCGCATATGTGCATCATCCTCCGGTCGGTGAATGACGAGAAGATCGCGTGGTGGAACTGTCAGTCCGCGTGCACCAAAGACGTGATTCTCTTTTGCTGCACCGAGGCGAACAAGCAGAAGCCCAAGTTTGATTTGCCGCTCACGCTCCGCGGGGGCCACAGCCACACCGCCTTTCTCAGGTTTACCCGCTCCCCCAACAGTAGTACTAGCATTAGTATTAGTATTAGAATTAGTATTAGTATTAGAAGGAGGGGGAAGTGACTGTATACCATCTGTTGCTGCTGCTGATTCTGCGGGTGTGATGATGTCTAACGATCCGACGGGGGGAGTGGTAAGATCAGGCAGTGATGGTGCAGTCGCCACAGGCATAATTATGGGTGATAAAAGTTAATGCTAAATCGTGCGTAATTACCAACACAAAAAAAAAAAGAAAGAGAAAAATAAAAGGTAACCTACCTGCTAATAATTACCCTGTAAAGTCTATGTATTTAATGTATCTAATTTAGTTACCTTACAAACGATAGCCACCTGTATATTTTGTTAAGGAGAAATCATATAAAAGAGAAAAATGTGAAGAAAAGCAAGAGATTCGAAAGAAAAGAAAAAAAAAAGAGAGAGAAAATGTACAGTATAATAGATGTTATTCTTACTACTGGGGGGAAGTGTTTGGAGTGACGTTATTTCTGGAATCGCAAATGAGAGCATAATACAAAATAGTAAACACTGAGTAGGTAAGTAAGTGGCATTTCATCATGGTAAACCAAGAACAAGTATTATCTTCTACTTATGCTGCGTTTCATTGTAGTATTCTCTAATCCCAAGGTCGAAGCAGCAGAAACACTCAAAATACACACAAAGGCATGAAATAAAAGAAGAAGAAAAAAAGGAAGCATAAAAGCAAGGAACGAAAAAAAAAAAAAGTGCAAGAGTGCAAACACCACACCCTTACATACGCAAAAGAAAAAAAAAGAGCGATGTACAAGGACACAGTCAATTAAGGAAGGATGATAAAAAAAAGGGGGAGAAGGAAGGGAAAAAAGCAAAAAAAAAAAAAAAGACTGATAAAGCACTAATGTTGTGTGTACAAAGAAGTAAAAAGTTAGGTATAGAGAGAGAACAGGAAGAACAAAGCAAAGAGTCGTATCAGTAAGAATTATAAGCACAGAAGCAATTACAATTATACATGTATCAACTGTCAAACGACTTGTTTCTCTTTTTCCTTCCCTCTTTTTTCTTTTTGTTGTTATTGTTGTTTTTCGTGAATGATTAGAGATATTTATTTTTATTTTCTCCCCTTTTGCCTGCGATAAAAAAAAAAGGAGGAAATGTATACCCATGTCCATCAACATCACCCTTCTCATAACCATCACACCACCATTATTCATGATTTGTGAATGCTGGTCCTTGTTTATCCCCACAAAATCCCTTATTCTCATCCGTTTATTATCCTTTGACGTTCCTTTGTTTTTCTTTTTCTCTTTTTGTTTCTTTATACATATTCCTTCCTTCCTTCTCTTCTTACACGACCATGAACATACACACACACACACTCCCTCTCTCTCTCTCTCTCTCTCTCCTTCTCTTTTCCTCTTTGCTCTCCTTCTTTTCATTTCTCCTCTTCGTGTTTGGCACCTACAGCACGTGTGTGTGAACCGTGCATCTTGCGTGCCTCCTCGTACTGCCAAATCCCGCCCACTACGAGAAGTACACCGGCGAAGTGTGCCACACCGAACGGCTTCGGATACACAACGTAACTACACAGTACAGTTACCACCTTACGTACACTTGTCACAACTGTCGCGGTGCTGCTATTAAACTCAGAGATGATACGCAGAAGGAAGAAGGTACCACCATAGTTACACAGAGAGCAGAGGAGCAACAGCAGCAAGAACACATGATGGTTATTCACAAATAGAATGGACTCCTCCACTCCACCGCTTAGAATGAGTGATACCAATCCATTTAAGGTAGAGAGAAGGAAAACGTAACACTGCACCTCATCGTGGGTGGCATTGTGAGTCATGAAGCAGTACTTCTCTTCCCCTAAATACATAAGGGCATCACACACGAGGGCTACCACAATGCCCGTAACGCCGGCAAACACTGGCCACCAGCTCTGATCTTGATCTCCCTCCCCTTTGGCTACACGTGTACTCGTTGTGGCATATGTGAAAAGAATAAGGCCTACAACAACAGTTACGCATGACGCTGCTTCTCTCATCATCTTTGGATGCATCATAGCCGCGTGAGAGAGACTATGAATGACGTTATCATTATTGTTGTTGTTGATGTTGCCATTATTGTGACTACTTTTGCCAGTGAAAGAGAGTTCACTGCACGGCGGTGAGAATCGGGTTATTGGCTTGGGCAAACAAACATTCACGGCGACGAATCCACTAGATATCTCAGAAGTATCATGTTTTGTAGGGGTTGTATGTTGTTGTTGTTGTTGTTGTTGTTGTTGTTGTTGTTGTTGTACCTCTACCTCTTCAAAATCATGAGCTATTAGTACCTCTTTTGCTTCAAAACGTGCGGGGAGTTCAATTGCTATATAGCGCACAAGCCAGACAAAGAGGAGTTTACTAGACTTAAAGACAACCTGTGTACTATAGCTAAGAAGACGTGAGGCCTCATTCGTTAAGTATACACTTGTAGTGTTCATGATAGAAATCATAAAATATGTGCGAAGGGGCACACGACGCGCCTCTACAAGTCGTCGCCATGGTGAAGCCGATTTAACAGGCGAAGAGCGGTACAATTGCAAAGCAGCAAAGAGTGAGACGCAGAGTGACTGCGTAAATGTGAGTAGCACAGTGTGGTGAAATCCAGGAATATAGAACACCGCCTCCTGTACGATGGAGTTACTGACATGGAAGAGAAGAACGCAAAGAGCAAAAATCAAAAGTCGCTGTGTCGACCCCCGCCGCATTGTAACTTCTGACATATAAGTATATACCTATAGTCCCGTATAAATTATGCCTTTCTTTTATTTGTTTTTTTTTTTTTTTTTTTTTTTTTTTTTTTTTTTTTACCAATCACCTCTCTCCCTACTCCTCACAATTTCTTCGTCTATTATATATTTCTTGTCTTCCGTTTTACAATTATTAAAAACCGGAGAGAATATGGAAGTGGAAGGAGCATGAGTGCTCAAGAGCAGCACACATGTATCTCTAGGTTTTTTTTTAAAAAAAAAAATCAAAAACACAGCAACAGACTCATGCAAGTTCTCCTTCGCATCAAAGTTGAAAGTAATACCATGTGAGGGGCAAAATAAATTAATAAAACGTACGCATAGAAAGAATGCACTATACCCTTCTTTTTTTTAAAAAAAAAAAAGTGAGAAGGTGATCTTGCTTAGAAACGCTTTCAAATATACATACATATATGTGTATTTCGCTTTCACAGTGTACTGGCTTTTATTTGTATTCCCATTCCATTTTTTTTTTTTTGCTTTTTGCTTTTGCTACCCGTTTTTCCTCCCCATTGTTAAGACAACAGTCTATGTCTTACTTTTTCTCTAATGGTAAAAAAAAAAAGAAAAAGTAGAAGAAAACGCTCATTATCGTAATCCGTTTCTCTTTGCATACCATTATATTGAAAGCAACCCCATAGGGTCTCCAAGAAGACTACTCATCACTTGTGACCATTCAGTATGGAATGAAAAAGCAGCATTGAAAGCTCTCTTTATCTCGCCCTCCGTGTAAATGTGTAAAGGGTGGGAGAGAAAGAGAGAGTGATGTATTGGGTAGATCTTCTAAACTTTTCCTTTGCGACAAACTATACAGTAGTAAATCACGAACAGTGATGTTATGCATTTTTTTTTTTTTTTT